CCGCATGAAAAATCAAGGAAGCACCTCTAAACCCTAAACCCTAAACCCTAAACCCTAAACCCTAAACCCTAAACCCTAAACCCTAAACCCTAAACCCTAAACCCTAAACCCTAAACCCTAAACCCTAAACCCTAAACCCTAAACCCTAAACCCTAACCCTAAACCCTAAACCGTATCTAAACCCTGAACCCTGAACCCTAACTTCCAGCACCCCGTTGAATGCCCTAGACGCCAACGCAAAGCCCAAAATGGCCAACCCCCAAATCCCAGAAGCCAAACAACCCTGATTAGTCAGCAGGGAGGACCTCGCCAGTTCGGCGGCAAGGTTTAGGGGTTAGGGGTTAGGGGTTAGGGATTAGGGGTTAGGGGTTAGGGGTTAGGATTTAGGGTTTAGGGTTTAGGGGTTAGGGGTTAGGGGTTTAGCGATTATGGTGTATCCAAAGCCCTGAATCCTAAACCTAAACCCTAAACCCGAGCCCTAAACCTCTCCCAAAAAGTGGCCTTGGGAGGGGGGCGGGCGAAGGGATTCCCAGACGCCTGCATCAGGAGGGTTTAGGGTTTGGGGTTTAAGATTTGGGGCATATACGGTTGATACTATAAGTCCTGCATGACTCTACTATACTTAACTACCATAATTCCTAGGGTTTAGGGTACTTAGGGTAATGCAGGATTTATATTATCAACCATAGTAGGGCTGTATACTGAGGCTTCGCAATGGGCATTTTCATTCAGTGGCATTCCTAGGCAAAAACGCTGGAAAATAACGAGTAAATGCAGGTGGGGAGATGACAGGGGTTTAGGGTTCAGGGTTCAGTGTTTAGGGGGTTTAGGGTTTAGGGGTTTAGGGGTTTAGGGGTTTAGGGGTTTGGGGGGTTTAGGGGTTTAGGGGTTTAGGGGTTTAGGGGTTTAGGGGTTTAGGGGTTTAGGGGTTTAGGGGTTTCGGGTTTACGGGTTTACGGGTTTAGGGTTTAGGGTTCAGGGTTGGGGGGGCCGGTTCAGGATGTAGGGACTCTACTACCTCTCCCCGCCCTACGTATCCCCTGCTCATGGACTGTTTCGGGTTTAGGGTTTAGGGTTTAGGGATTAGGGTTTAGGGTCTAGTGTTAAGGGCTATAATTCCCTAATTCAGGCAGATCAAGCTCTCTGGGTAGTATTCTTTGGGATACATCCCCCTTATCTTACTGGGGATTATAATAGGGATACGATCATGCCTATTCAGGACTCTTAGTATAGCGGGGGAACAGCTCAAGCATACTGGCAGGGTCGGGCAGACGCAAAGATCCTGCTTCTAGCCATGTCGGCGAGTCTAAGGGTCCCAGATTTCAGGCTCTTCCCTCCCCCCCCATCCCCTCGCATAAAAAACAAACAAAAGCAACAACCCTGAAACCTTAAACCCTAACACCTAAACCCTAAACCCCTCAAACCCGAAACCCTAAACCCTACGCAAAAAACAGGAGCTCGGCACTCCCCACCCCAAACACCCAGTCGTGCCTTCTCTGCCTCCGGAGCCTGTACGCAAGGCAGGTGAGAGGATAACTCTAGGTTTAGGGTTTAGGGTTTAGGGTTTAGGGTTTAGGGTTTAGGGTTTAGGGTTTAGGGTTTAGGGTTCAGGGTTCAGTGCACCTTAAACCCTAAAACCCTGAATCCTAAAGCCTAGCTGGGAGCCCTATTTATCTGCAGTTTAGTTGTAACTACCCTTAATTAGTAGGTATAAACCATAAAAAATGTAGGTAAAGAGGGCCCAGGGGAACCTTAGACCCTCGCCTTGAAATCCGCAAACGACCCTGTATCCAAACCCTTTAGCCCTCTAAACTCTAAACCCTCTGAAGAATTCCTAGATATGATCCTCTTACACCGAATAAGGCAAAATACGAAGTATTCCAAGGGGCTACCCAGCCTAAATACACTCGAAAAGACGGGAAAATAGTGCTAAATTATTTGCCTAGGTTGCTGATTTCACAGGCCTCTGAAGCCTAACCCCTAAACCCTCGAACACTGAACCCTAAACCCATATACCTTATATAGGCCACTCCAGCTGGGTAAAACCTAAAACACCCCCCACGGTCTCCAGGTCAAAGGCACCTTTCACTTGGGGTTTAGGGCTTGTGGAGTTTAGGTTGGGATGTTCCCCTTTCTGCGAATAGTCCTTAATACGGTTTAGGGTTTAGGGGGTTTAGGGTTTACGGTTTAGGGTTTAGGGTTTAGGGGGTTGGGGGTTTAGGGTTTAGGGTTTAGGGTTTCGGGTTTCGGGTTTAGGGTTTAGGGTTTGGGTTTCCCAAAACGCGGGGGGGGGGGGGGGGGGGGTACCCCGGCAGCTTTTGCGTGGAGGAACAGCCCCCCCCCCCCCTAGCCGCCCCCCTTACCCCAAGGACCGCCCAGAGCTTCTCGCCAGGCTGGCCCCACCCCCCCCCACCCCCTACCCAGACCCGAACCGCAAACCCAATCCACCAAACCCCAAACCTTAAACTTGTTCTCCTGCAGGGTCGGCGGCTTGAGCCGGAGGCTCTTAAATGCCAAAGCGCCCAAACCCGTCAACCCCCAAGCTTGAAGCCTCAGACCCCTCAGCCCCAAAGGCGCCCAACCCCGCCGGAGCCGCTACACCCTACACCCTGAACCCTGAACCCTGAACCCTGAACCCTAAACCCTAAACCCTAAACCCTAAACCCCAAACCCCAAACCCCAAACCCCAAACCCCAAACCCCAAACCCCAAACCCCAAACCCCAAACCCCAAACCCTAAACCCCTAGCCTCCTGAACCCCTGAAGCTCCTAAGGATGCACCGCTCCTAGTCCCTTAATATACTTAGGGTTTAGGGTTTAGGGTTTAGGGTTTAGGGTTTAGGGTTTAGGGTTTGGGGTATACTCCTGTAATTGCCTTGACCCTTAGAGGATCTTTCGAAACAGGGCCCCCGAGACCCAAGGGTACAACCTTAGGGGGTACCAAGACTGAAACCCCAAGCCCCCACTAGACTCTAAACTGTAAACCCCCCCAACCCCTCCCCCCCCCTCCACCTACACCCCAAAGCCCGGAACAACAACCCTAAACCCTAAACCCTAAACCCTAAACCCTAAACCCTAAACCCTAAACCCTAAACCCTAAACCCTAAACCCTAAACCCTAAACCCTAAACCCTAAACCCTAAACCGCTCCTGCGAGCCGTTCGCCGCCTTCGCGGCACCGGCATCCTGCATCAAGGGGGCTTAGGGTTTAGGGTTTAGGGTTTAGGGTTTAGGGTTTAGGGTTTAGGGTTTAGGGTTTAGGGTTTAGGGTTGTGTTTGCAGGCCACACTCGATCTGTCTACGCGCAGTTGCTGAGTACCCTGGGCCAAAAAAGGTTTTCCTTTCAAGTATGGTAGGGTTCTATATACCCCCAAAAGGTTAAAGGTCACCTACTCAGCTACCAAAAGCTATACGCACACACGCAAAAGACTCTATTGCATGAGGGAGAGAGAGGGGACTAGAATGAGAATGGCACTGGGAATGGCAAGCATATACTCCAGGAATGGGAATGATAATGGAAATTGAGAAACCAGATGAGAAACTAGAGATACATGCATGCATAGCACCACACAACGCAACATAACACTGCGAAATATTGCATCACACTAGGTAACATTAATATACATCTAACATACATTCACATTACCTTGCAATACATGGCATTGCGTTGCACTTTACCAACCCATAATACATGCAGGCATGCATGCTGTGAATAGGTGGCTGGATGATAGACCAGACAATAGACTGGCTGATGGCCAGTAGATCAAGGCCGGAAGATGAAAAGGCTCAGGGTTTAGGGTTTAGGGTTTAGGGTTTAGGGTTTAGGGTTTAGGGTTTAGGGTTTAGGGGTTTAGGGCTTAGGGTTTGAGGTCAAGTCTCAGAGGTTATGCAAGGATTCGTGTGTGCTCAAAAAATGGCTCACCAGACCGACAGTCTCGAACAAAGGGCCCTGTTCCCTAAATCTTGAAACCTTCCGAACCGCTCCTTCAGCCCCCTACCCCCCCCTCCCCCCCTACCCCCCCCCCCACCCCCCCACCCCCTCCCCACCCCCCCACCCCCCCCCCCCCCCCCACCCCCCCACCCCCCCCCCCCCCACCCCCCCCCCCCCCACCCCCCCACCCCCCCACCCCCCCACCCCCCCACCCCCCCCCCACACCCCCCCACCCCCCCCCCCCACCCCCCCCCCCCCCCCCCCCCCCAACAGGAACCACAAACAAAATCACCAAACCCCAAACCTTAAACTTGTTCTCCCGCGGGATCGGCGGCTTGAGCCGGAGGCTCTTAAATTTGGGGTTGTAAAAGCATTACAGTTTTCCAAGCTGGAAACACAAAGCATGACATCTTCAGCAACAGCTGGCTGCCACATGGGATCGCAGCTTTGCGCCTATTCACAGACCAGAGTTTCGCAGAGGGTTTAGGGTTCAGGGTTCAGGGTTCAGGGTTCAGGGTTCAGGGTTCAGGGTTTAGGGTTTAGGGTTTAGGGTTTAGGGTTTAGGGTGCAGGGTTTACAAGGGGGCCCGGCAAACCTCACTCCATTAAATGGGCCAAGCTGGGCCACGTCGAACCGGAGTCGGCCCCCTTCTGCATCCCCAAGCATCCCTAAAAACCCTAAAACCCTAAAACCCTAAAACCCTAAAACCCTAAAACCCTAAAGCCCTAAAACCCTAAAACCCAAAAACCCTAAAACCCTAAAACCCTAAAACCCTAAAACCCTAAACCCCTAAACCCTAAACCTCGAACCCCAAACCCTAAACCCACTGTCCTCCATCATCTTATCCTGGGCTGCTCTTGCTTTTGAGGTCACTTGTGCCGGTACGCGCCGGTGACGCCACTCCAAATTTGCGAGATCAAGTTCGAACGAATGACAGAAGCAAAAAAAACATCCCGAGAATCCGTGAACTAACTTAAGAATCCCCCTTGTTCCCCCCCCAAAACCAAAACCAAACTACAATAGCAATTGCAGCCCCAAGCGTCGTTGCTCAAGAGTGACGTGGGCCCGTTCATGGATGTGGGGGTCGGGCCTGGGGTGGGAACAGGCTCCGGCGTAGTCGGCGTTGGGTTTGGCGCGGTGGTCTCCGAGGGTGGGCCTGAGAGGGGCATCCCAGGGGGGATCACGGGCATGGGGCCTGTGGGGGTGCTGAGCCCTTGGAAGGGTGCACGTACGGGCTCAGGTGTTGTGGGCATGGATGTGACAGGATTGAGTACCGGAGCTGTTTGGGTCAGCTCGGGGGTTGTGGGCGCGGGTGTCTGGCTGGCAGCGAAGGGGCCCGCTGCAGCGAGTGGTGTCGTCATGGCGGGTGTGGGCACGGGCTCTGGGGTCGTCTGCCTTGCTGCCGCGAAGGGGTCTGTCGCAGTCGACAGAGGTGTGGTGACGGCAGGCGCAGGCACCGGCTCTGGCGTCGTCAACCTTGGCGCCGGGGCGGGGGCTGGCTCGGGAGTCCGGGGCGCAGAAGTCGCCACTGGCGCTGGGCCGGGAGCCGCCACCGGTGCTGGCGACCAGCTGGGTGCAGACACGGGCTGGGAGACGGGGGGGAAGGGCTGGGGTACAGGTTGCGGTACGGGCTGAGGAACGGGCTGAGGTACGGGCTGGGCCACCGGTGCCTGCACCCCTCCCATTGGCGCAGGCTCGGAGTTGATCAAACTTGGGTTCAAAGGAGTCGGCACGGCCCTTAAGGTGTTCACCGAGTTGTGGGGTGCGCCATGGTTGCCATTGTTGGCATGAGCACCGTCCTTACAGGCTCCAGAACAGGAAAGGGCTGTATGGCTGTATCTTGCGATGTTCCCCCTTATTCTAGCAGTCCTTAATAGGTATTATAACAGGAGGTACTAGAATCTACTAGAATCCCTATTAAGGACTGCGAGTATAAGGGGGAACATCCCAAGCTGTATCCATGATCTTGCAGCACTCGTGTGCGCCTCTGCGAACTACCGTGGCTACCATGGCCCTGCCGCCAAGATGCCATGTCTCCTGATCCGATCTCAACCAACTCCTGCGCATGCGCTCGGCCACGTCAAGACGAACTTTGGGGCGGAGATCAGGTTCTGTGAGCATGTAGTCACCCTAAATCCGAAACCCTAAACCCTAAACCCTGAACCCTAAACCCGAAACCCTAAACCCTAAACCCTGAACCCTAAACCCGAAACCCTAAACCCGAAACCCGAATCCCTAAACCCTAAACCCCCAAAAGGAGAAGTGCCGGGCTGATGTTCGAAAGCTGTTCTTTCCATCAACATACTGCCTCCCAGTACCCTAAACCCTAAACCCTAAACCCTTATAGACGCGTTCAGTGTCTTTTTTCTGAATGAACCCGGAAGTCGAGATCATTGGCCCTATACTACCCCTAATCCCTATGACCATGAAAGGCGGTATTCGACTGCTACGTATGTAGCGGGGGCCAGAAACCCTAAACCCTAAACCCTAAACCCTAGGCCCTACAAGTACTCAAAGCAAGCGGCAGACCCTCATAGTCTCATAGTGGCGACGCTGTACTCTACTTCTTCGGGCTTTTTGCAGCCGCAAGGCTACTCACCCCCCCCCCCTCCCCCCAAGCACACAAAGACCTCTGCTTGGCTTTTTCTGCACTGAAGAAAGTCACGGCCTTCACCAGACACTAAACACCCAAGAAGGATAACCCGCCACCTATAAGCCCAAGATCCCCCATCCCAACCACTTAGGGTTGAGGGTTTAGGGTTTAGGGTTTAGGGTTTAGGGTTTAGGGTTTAGGGCCCAACCACACACTCGCAAACCCCAAATACCCCGAAAACCCCAAAACAAAAAAAAACCTAAACCCTAAACCCCAAAACCCCCAAACCCCCAAACCCTGCTAACACCCGAAACCTATAAGCCCCTAAGCCCCTAAACCCTAACGCCCAGAATCCCCAAAACCCTAACTAAACCCGAAATACCAAAATCCTAAACCCTCAGCCCAACAAACTCCAAAAAAACCAAAACCCCAAAACCCCACCAATGGACCAACACCCTAAGCCCTAAAATCCAAAACTCAGACCCCAAAACCCTAAACCCAAAAAAAACGTAAACCTCTAAACCCTAAATCCCAAAACCCTCCTTGATTGCCATCAGCATCTCTTCATCCATCGTCCGTCGATCCTCAATTACAGGGTTTAGGGCTTAGGTTTAGGGTCTACTTAGGGGAGATCAAATAGGGGGTTATAAGCACTCTGAACCTGCAAGTGTGCTGCTTGGAAAACCGAGCTCGAGTCGAAACCATGAGCCCCGCGAGGGTTAGAAATTTGCGTTTGTGCCGAAACAAACCCCGAATCCTTCAACCCTGGTAGTTGTGGAGCTTCGAAGCTTAAGCCGGTAGAGAACGTGCGGAGAGACGACAAGGGAGGTGCACGCACGAGCTATTTTGAGAAAGCTCTTGAAAATCAAGGCCCTAAACCCTAAAACCCAAAACCGAAAACCTCACAGTAAAAACCCAAACCCCAAACCAGCCCCCCCCCCCCCCCCCCCCCCCCCCCCCCCCCCCCCCCCGCCCCCCACCCCCCCCCCCCCCCCACCCACCCCCTAGGGTTTAGGGTTTCGAGTTTCGGGTTTACGGTTTAGGGTTCAGGGCTAGGGCCGCAAGCACGCGAACCCCGAAAACCCTTAACGCCCCCACCTCAAAACCCTCTGTGAAACCCTTTAAGCCCTATAAACCCTGTCTTGACCAAGCTCTGGGCCTGGATGGTTTAGGATTTAGGGTTTAGGCTTGGGGGCTCAGAGCTCAGGCGAAAGGGCATAAGGTTTTCTAGGATTCATGGCAAAGGTTTAGGGCTTAGAGTTGAGGGTTTAGGCATATGCTTTCGTGTTTCGGTTGAGGGCATTGGGCATTGGTCTTGGGGGTTGCGGGTTTTGGTTTGGGATGTTCCCCCTAAACTAAGTCCTTCACAGGGATTCTAGTACCCCCCCCCCCCAAAAAAAAAAAAAAAAAAACGATTAAGGACTGCTAGTATAAGGGGGACATCCCAAGGTCCAAGGTTTAACTACGTAGGTCTTTATGGGAGGAATTCGGGTTTTTGGGGTTGGTGCCTTTAGGCTTTGGGGTTTTGACGGCACTCTCGGGCAGCCCCTGCACCCCTAAAGCCGGAAAAACTCTAAACCCAGAAACACGAACGCCCTAAACACTAAACCCTAAACCCCACTAAACCCTAAGCCCTAAACCCCAAACCCCGAACGCCTCGAAAACCCCAACAAGGGGAAGACCACTTGGATACAAGTGCAGATACAATTGGTTAATAAGTACCATGATGAACCTCCAAGTAGGCTACCCTACCCCTAAACCCTAACCCCCTGAACCCTACCTACACCCTAAACCCCAAACCCCAAACCCCAAACCCTGAACCCTAAACCCTAAACCCTAAACCTTACGTTACAGCAGCCGAGGCCTGGTGGGCTTTCCGCAGCTCGGCGAAGCCCTGCGCGGCATCCTTCCGGGGACCCCGGGGTCCAAGTGGGGTTTAGGTCTCACCCTAAAGACCCTAAACCCTAAACCCTAAACCCTAAACCCCAAACCCTAAACCCTAAACCCTAAACCCTGAACCCTAAACCCTAAAAACCCTAAACCCTAAACCCTAAGACCCAGCCTTCTGGCTGCGCTGCAGATCAGTGGAGAGCTGAGCGACATTCCTGGCAGGTTGTTTGGGTTTTAGCCGCCCGCTCCCGGGCCCTCCCTACCAAAAAGGGTTTAGGGTTTAGTTTGGGGTTTAGGGTTTAGGGCTTAGGGCTTAGGGCTTAGGGCTTGGGGCTTAGGGCTTGGGGCTTAGGGTTTAGGGCTTAGGGTTTAGGGTTTAGGGGGTCCGGGAACACAACATAGGGCTACGGGGTTGGGCTGGGCTTGCTTACCTCTAAATCCTAAACCCTAAACCCTAAACCCTAAACCCTAAACCCTAAACCCCAAGCCCAGCTAAGATCCCGGCCTCTGTAGCGCCTCGATCTGCTTCATCAGGCCCGATACGTCCACAGCTCCTTAGACGTGACTTGGGGTTTGGGGTTGGAGGTTTAGGGTTTAGGGTTTCGGGTTTGGGTTTAGGGTTTCGGGTTTCGGGTTTCGGGTTTTGGGTTTCGGGTTTCGGGTTTCGGGTTTCGGGTTTAGGGTTTAGGGTTTAGGGTGGGTTTAGGGTCCGCCGACCTTACCCCCCCCCCCCCACCCCCCCCCCCCCCACCCCCCCCCCCCACCCCCCCCCCCCCCACCCCAACCCCCCCACCCCGAACCGCAAACCCAATCCACCAAACCCCAAACCTTAAACTTGTTCTCCTGCGGGGTCGGCGGCTTGAGCCGGAGCTCTTAAATCCGGCCCCCGCGCCGCCCGTGGTCCAGGGCGGAGCCCGCGTCGCACTAAAGCGCTAGCTCTAAGGGGCGAGCGCGCCCGAGCCGCCGACCCCGCCCAAAATTGCTTCATATTCGCGCGGGGCCCATCGGGAGGCCTCCAAAACGCGGTGGTGCGAAAAGCATGAAAACCACGTAAAAACCATGGTTTTTTTACGAAAAACCGAGGCCACAAAACACCCACAGCACCCCATGAAACCCTCACAGGCGCGCATCATCGACCCTAGCTTTTCACATGGGGCGCGCGCCAGGCCGAAACCACGTTTTTCAAGGTTTGGGGGGGGTACCGGAAGCCCAAAACCAGGCGAGCATCATGAGCATCAGCAGCCCTGGCCCGCGGCCCCAAGGCAGTAAAAAACGCTGAAAAACGCTGAAATCACCGTAAATACCGTGTTTTTATGAGGTTTTTCACGCGTGCCTCCGACCCCCACCCTTGTTGCCCTTGACCCGCCCCCAAAGTGCGCATCATCGAAACCCATGTCCGGGGGGGGGTCTGCTGATGCTGCTGATGCGCGGGGGTCCGGGATCATCCAGCCATCGTTTGTCATGGGCTTCGTGGGCCTCCGGGCCCACGGCCCAGAGACCCAGCTGATGCTCATGATGCTTTTTTTTGGGGGGGGTTCCAACAGCAGAAAACCTCGTAAATACCGAGTGTTTTGTGGGTCCACGTAAAAACGCCCCTAAAATCGCTAATTTTTTGGGACCCAGGAAAGGGAGCATCATGAGCATCAGCGGCCTCCCCCAAACCATCCAAAACCCCCTTAAACACGCCGATTGTATGTGCTTGAACGCTTGCGTGCCCACGAAACCCCCAAAAGCAAGACCCCGAATGCCCTTAAGGGCATTCGGGGTCCTGCTGTTCGGGTGTTTTGTAGGCACGAAGCCGTTCGAGCGCGTAACCCCACTGATGCTCCTGATGCGCGTGAGCGCGCGCGCAGCGCGCGCACGCGTGTGCCGGGGGGGGAGGGGGGGCGAAGGCAGGAGAAAGAGAGACAGAGAGAAGGAGAGGACAAAGACACGGGAAAGAGAAGACAGTGCCAAGGTTCAAGGTTTCGTGCTTTGGGGGGCCGGGGGCCGGCCCGTGCCGCTAGGTGTGAAATCCGGCCCCCGCGCCGCCCGTGGTCCAGGGCGGAGCCCGCGTCGCACTAAAGCGCTAGCTTTCAGGGGCGAGCGCCCGAGCCGCCGACCCCGCCCAAAATTGCTTCGAATTCGCGCGGAGTGCTTGGGGAGGCCTCCAAAACGGCATCCAAGGGGACGCAACACGCGGTGGTGCGAAAAGCACGAAAACCTCGTAAAAACCATGGGTTTTTACGAAAAACCGAGGCCACCAAACACCCGCAGCACCCCGTTAAACCCTCACGGGCGCGCATCATCGACCCTAGCTTTTCACATG